TATCCTGGTGGTGGTAAGAGAACCACCGGGATTGAGGCTTTGCCTAGCGGGCCGCTCCATCTATTGGTGGGGAGCAGCACCTGCTGGAAACCGGGTCCAGCATCCCTTAAATACATCTTTGTAAAACAATACATCTTGAAAGTGACGCCATTATACTGGAAACCGGGTCCAGTGTCCCATATCCAATCTTCTCTTCCATACCTATCCTGCAGCAGGGTCGGGTATTGGGGGGAGAAACACCGGGGGGCACCAGGGGAGTCTCCCTCCCCCCCCTAGCCTCTGCCATCCACCTACTATCCTCGTGGCACCTATTGTGTCCTTGCACTCTGTAGTAGCATGTGTTTTGAACCTGAAGCAGCAGAAAGGGCTGAAGTGAGCTGCACTGAAGTCAGCAGAAATCAACTGACATTTGACTGACATTGACTGGGGTATACTAAACCTGCTGGAAACCGGGTCCAGCGTCCCTTAATTACTACTTTGTATGCGGTCATCTTTTGACGTGACGCGTGCTGGAACCCTGGTCCAGCGTGTTGTATCCAATTACTAAACAGTAGGGGTCCCCATGCCAAGCTGGAACCGGGCCTAACTTCCCTTAGTTACCGCCATGACTAAACAGAAGTCAGTAGACACCAAGGATAAGCAGAGGACCCTATGCTGAGCTGGGACCGGGCCCAGCTTCCCTTAGTTACCACGATGAGCAAACAGAGTAAACAGAAATCAGCAGAAACCACRGGTAGGTCATGAAGGYGGTACTCTTTCTTCCAAGGACAGCGGGTGGGGGGGGAAGGGATCTGCGAAGTCCTGTGCAGCACGTAGCGGGCTGCCGGGATCTATCTTAGTCCAGTCGTGGAAAATCAGATGGTAGTCTCTTACCATCTCCGTCTGGGGTTCCTCCTGTGGTTCTTTTTCAGGCCGACAGTCCTCGGTCCATTTGACCTCAGCCACCCATCCCTTCCTTTCCCCTCCCAGCCAGTCCTTGCTAAAGCCGGAGATAATCCTGTTCATATCCCCCCAGGTATGCATTTGGTCCAGCTTGTCCTTAGCTGACTTCCATCGGGTCGCAATCTCGTGTTGAACCAATGTTCGTATTTGTTCCATTATTTCTCCGTCTTCCACCTGCGCCCCCTCTACCTCCAGGATACATCTCTTCCACCATATGGCCCATAGGACGCTCCATCTTCCCAGGTTAAACGAAGCTAATCATAAGTTTTAAGTTTACATTTTAACTTTTAAGTTTTGAACTTTTGAGTCTTTTGAGTTTTGACTAATTTGAACATATCTGAAATCCGCACTCGCCAAACTTTCGGAAGCAATTGGCTTGAGCTCTCCCTTGTATTAAAAACTTCTAATTTTTTAAAACTTTAAATTTTAAAAATATCAAAGCCCAAACTTAAGATTTTGCCTTGTCATGCAATTGGGCCTGAGCTCTCTGCCCTGTACTAAAAAAAAGTGCCTTTTTATGCAGATGCGAGTGTTTACGCTTCAAATTGATCTGGATGCACAGAGCACGTTTGCGTCACTTAGTGCATCAAGCTACTGGGTATGTAGTACGATACACACATCCTTGTTTTTTGTTTTTTTTTTTCTTTTGGACATCATGTACACAATGCTTTTGCAAATGATATTCATAACCATTATAGACGGAGTACTGGAATAACATGAAGTGGAAGTGTGGTCATGTTTGCTGACTGATTGTTGCCTTCGTTTTTCCCTTTCTTAAATTCAACTGATCAATGTTTTTCTACTTTTTCGTTGCTTTTTTTTTGTTCCTTCATTTCCTTCCTAATGTTTCATCCTGTGTTCTGTCCTTCTTCCCCTTTTTTCTTCCTTTCTCTCTTTTTTTGCTTCTCCCCTCTCTCTCTCTCTCTCTCTCTCTCTCTCTCTCTCTCTCTCTCTCTCTCTCTCTCTCTCTCTCTCTCTCTCTCTCTCTCTCTCTCTC